GGGGTTGTCGGGGTCGGGGCACGGGCGGGGGTGGATGGCGAGGTGCGGGGGTCCGGGGGTGAAACCCCCACCCCGACTCAGGCCCCGGGGATCCCCGCGTGACAACCCTGGCTTCCACCAGATCCGCATCCGCGAGGACACCCACAAGACCGCCTTCCATTCTCACTTCGGACGAGTTCCTCTTGAAGCCCTTCGGACTCACCAATGCCCCCGCCACATTCCAATCCACCATGAATCACATCTTCCGCGACCTCCTCGAAGTTTGTGTCGTCGTGTACCCCGCTCATTCCTCAGCCTTGCCAACTATTACCGCCCCTTCATCCGCAACTTCTCCGACATCTCATACCCGCTCCAAGAACTCACACGCAAGCACAAGTCCTTCAATTGGAACGACTGCCGCCAAAACGCCTTCGACTTCCTCAAACAAACCATCACCACGGCCCCCATCCTCAAGATCGTTGACCCCTCTCAATATTTCTACGTTACCACTGACGCATCCGACTTCGCCATCGGAACCGTCCTCTCGCAACATTTTCCTCACAACACCTTCGAAACCCCCTCCATCAAAGACTTCCCCACCCACCCCAAAGCCATTTCTAGCGGAGATGAACTACCCCTCCAACGAGAAGGAACCCCTTGCCGTGATTCACTCCCTCAAAGTGTGGTGCCCATACCTTGACGGGCAATACTTCACCATTCGCACCGACAACACCATTGTCTCCTCTATCCTCACTAAGAAAGACATCACGCCACACCAAGCCCGCTGCTTAAACTTTCTTGCCCAGTTCACATTCACCATTTACCACACCCTTGGCAAAAGCAACCCCGTTGTCGATGCCCTCTCTCGACGCCCCGATCACAAGCCCTCCGAGAAAGTCTACGCCACCATGACTTATGTCCAACTCCTCCCATCACAACCGCCGCTACACCCACGACTACCTCTCTTGATCGGATTTCTCAAGGATCTACAACAAACTTCGTGACCTCGACCCAGTCCCCACTACTCCCTTCACGACCAACTTCTTTACATCGACACCAAAGGCACTCGCCGACCTTGCATCCCCGACGCACGTGGCCACCATACCCAACTTTTGGCCAAGCACCACGACGCCAAGACTAGGGAACACCTCGGGTTCTAGAAAACCTTTTACACCATCTCCCGCTACTTCTACTGGCCTTCTCTACTCGGCGACGTCAAAGCTTACATTCACTCATGCCCCACATGTCAAGTCGTCAACCCTTTGAACCGGGCCAAACCCGACAAGTTACAGTCGTTGCCTATTCCCACTCACCGTTGGCAGTCCATCTCTATGAACTTCATTTGCGGTCTCCCCAAGATTGACCGCGACCATGACTGCATCTATGCCATCCTCTGTCGTTTGACCAAACGTGCGCACTTCATCCCTTGCACTACTTCGCACAACGCCAAAGACGTTGCCACACTCTTCTTTGATCATGTCGCACGCCATCACGGCCTCCCCGAGAATATCATTAGTGACCGTGATCCGCGCACCTTTTCAAAGCCTACAGAACCACACTCAAGTATAGCACTGCATTCTACCCTTAGACCGATGGACAAACCGAGAAGATGAACGATACTCTCCAAAGAATCCTACATAAGTATTGTCATCCACAGATTCCACACCAATATGACTGGCATCAGTTGCTCACAACCACCGAGATCGCCTATGACAACGTTGTCTGCCCTTCGACTGGCATGACCAAACGCGCGCACTTCATCCCTTGCACTACTTCGCACAACGCCAAAGACGTCGCCACTCTCTTCTTTGATCATGTCGCACGCCATCACGACCTCCCCGAGAATATCATTAGTGATAGTGATCCGTGCTTTCTCTCACAATTCTGGAAACAACTTTTCAAAGCTTACGGAACCATGCTCAAGTATAGCACTGCATTCTACCCTTAGACCGATGGACAAACCGAGAAGATGAACGATTCTCTCCAAAGAATCCTGCGTAAGTAACGATTCTCTCCAAAGAATCCTGCGTAAGTATTGTCATCCACACCAATACGACTGGCATCAATTGCTCACAGCCGTCGAGATCGCCTATGACAAAGTCGCCTGCCCTTCCACTGGCATGTCCCCATTCTGCCTCGATCTTGGCTACCATCCTCGCTTGCCCTCCGACTTCCTGCTTCCTTCACAACTCAACCCCTCCACCCCCTGCCCTTCTCTCAATGAATGGGTAGCAACAATGAACAAAGTCCTTAGAGAAGCCACCGAAGCCCTTGAACGACAAGCCAACAGACCAACAAACACAAACGTGACGTCTCATTCAAAGTAGGGGACAAAGTCTGGCTCTCCGCCAAACGCTTTGAATCTGAACACGGCTTGTCCAAGAAACTGTCAACAAGTAGCTCGGACCTTTCCCCATCATTGAACAAACCTCCCACGCCAACTACAAGCTCCAACTCCCTCCTGACACGAGTCGTGTCCACCCTATCTTCCACGTAGAATACTTGAAAGAATACCATGAATCCCCACCCCAATTCGCCGACCACCCATATCCTAGACCTCCACCAATCATGTTACCCACTGGCCCTGAATTCGCCGTCAAAGCCATCATAGGACGAAGAACAACTCAAGTATCTGACCACCCTGAACCAATCACAGAATACAAAGTTAAATGGACAGGATACCATGACGAAGAATCCACATGGGAACCTTTTGCTAACCTTAAGAATGCCATGTAACTTGTTCTCGCTTATGATTGCGCCCATCCTATATCCTAGCTATCCACTATGCCTAAACTCTGCCTAAACCTCGCCTACACCCTGCCTCCCCGCACTACACACATCCCCTGTACCCAACAAAACCCCTTTCCCCTTGACCTCCCTCTATCTGATCCACTCTCGCCTCTGTCTCGCCCCGTTCTCCCATCTGTCCTCTGCCACATCTCTGCCTCTCTTGTCCAAGTCCTACATATGGCCCCTGCGCGCCGCCGGCGATATCTGATCTAATGGCAAGCGCACGAGGACGATGGCATGCTGCAGCTCAGTACGAGGAGATAAGACAGCTGGTTGGCCACCATGCTGTTCCCTTTGGCCGTCACCTTGGACTGGCAAACTTCTGGAGCAGCACCTCTGACATGGACATCAAGATCAGCATGCGACCTGCTATCCGGATCAGACCTCATCATCAGGTCGTGTACAGGACGCAACTTGCCACTGCGACAATCAAGCTGAAGTCAACGCCGTCTACATCACAGAACTGTTGAAGATGCTTCCTCACCACCACTTCTGCGACACCCTCCAAAACCTTCCTCGAGACATTTTTTCGCTTTCGACTTACAGACCTGAGACGTTGTTTTCCCAAACCCCTCAGACACCCCAGCACTTGAGCATTGAACAAACAAACTTTTTTAATTTTTTTCCCTCAAACCTGACAACCTATGTATTGTCTACCGCGTGGACGCGGGGAACGCAGCCCTAAGGTAGCCAAATCAATGAGACTAAGAGCTAACACAAGAGAGAGAGAGAGAGAGAGAGAGAGAGAGAGAGTTTTGTTCCATTTATTGTTACGAGTGTGTGAGAGAGAAAGAAATAGAGAGAGAGGGAGGGGGGGGCCTACCAGAGAGAGAGAGAGAGGGG